TGGGGGGGGGGGGGGTTTCCATGCTTTCTACACATAGTAGCAAGGGAATATACAAATAAGAGGGACGTAATTAAAATCCTTGAGAATATAATGGCAAGCAATTATTTGGTATTAAATTCCACGAACAAAATGATAATAATAGGAGTGTACGAATGACCGAGAGAACAAGCTATCTTGATCACTTGTGAATTATTGTTTATTCAAGCACGTGACAACTCAAAAGGAAAGTAGAAATAATTAAGCACTATAGTTCAATCGAATTTTGTGCTAAATTAATTCTAATATAAGTTCATGTAACAAATTGAAAAAAAAATATACGTCAATCAATGAATCAATCATTTAAGTTGTGGGGTTATCTCTCGCAAATCATCACCTTTTACAAGCTTTTCTAGTTTGTCATTCCATTTTTCATCCAAAATAATAATACGATTTTGTCGATCTCATCACTCATGACTCATGAGCCGTTTGATGAGCAATATTAAGATTAATATATGTCTGTCTTTTTAATAATCATTCCCTTCGTCTCAAGGCGTTTTTGGGATTTGGATGTCTTACTAGTCATTACGATAACAAAGAAAAGCCAGAAAGTGCCGACTTCAGAACCCTACTCAAATCAACCTTAATCAGAATAATATTCCTATACACTACTTTTCCACACACCATTTTTATCCCTTCTTTAATAAGAAAAGGTGCAATACAATATATGGTTATTATTAATAAAAACAGTTAATTTAAATTATGTAATGATAATATTGCATTCTATTTTTTTCTATATTTTATTGTACCGAGTTTACCTACACTACTCCTTCTATTTATGATAAAAGAAGAGTCCTCTCTTATCTCTTTTTATCATGAGATAAATGGTCGTAATAAAAATAAATTGTAATTTTAAGATAAATATTAGTTGCAATTAATGATGACAATTCAAATATTATAATCTTTATGTCTAGAAAGACTTTGCCCAACCACCATTCTGATTTGAGAGTTAGTCTTACAATTTTGTTTATGGAAATATTTTGTCAAAGACATAAAAAAGTTAAAATGTAAGAATATATTAAAACAGTAATTATAATTTTATATAAATTTATAATAGAATGAGAAAAGAGAAAGAAAAAAAAAAGAAATATATAAAAAAAATATATACTACATAGAAATCAAAATATTATAAAAATACCGCACAAAGTTTTGAATAAAAATAATATTATTCTGAAAATATATTTTTATTTAATATATAAATAAATTATACTTCAATTGTAATTCGATGTAAAATTAAACTGCTAAATAAAAGGTGAAAATTTTCCAAGTGATGACATGGGTGGAGATACTTTCCAGTATTTGTGCTGCCGCAGTGCTACTCCAATGACTCCATCATCATCCATCCCTAACTTTCTCTCTCCACACTTCCACTACTACCTTGCCTTTTACTCACCGAAGTTTTTCTTTATTTTTATATATTATCTATATACAAAATAAAAAATAAAAAATTCTATGAGAGTTTTTACATTTTGTCACCTCCTTCTCCTAATTAGTCTGCCACTGTCATCATCACCTTTTCTTCTCCTCTCTAGTCTCTATTATTTACAATACCCAGCAGAGGCATACAGCTTATATTTCTCTTCCTTCTCTTTGCAGCTTGTATACCCAAATAGTGCTTTTTCATTAGAAAAGAGAAAAAAAGATGCCAAGTCCTATTTGGGAACTGAGGTTGTATTGAGGAAATGAAATATCTTCTTCTGCTTTTCATTGCATGCTGGATTCTCTTGATCAATTCCTCACAGATAGATAGATAGAGAGAGAAAAGTCTGAAATAGTTGTGCAGAGTTGCTCAGACAAGTAATCCATGGCTTAGATAGCGACTTTGAAAATAACCCTCCACCCCCACACCATCATCATCATCATCATCTTCACGAGATTAATTTACCTTTCTTTTTACTCTTTCTACATGTCCCTGCCACCTGCACTTCACAGTTCACACCCCTTAGTTGTGTTGTGTGTCACAGCCTACAATATATTTAATTTAATTTGCTCTCGTGTAGTTTCGTCTTCTTGGTCTGTTCTTAGGTGCAAAAGTGGTCACTTTGGAACCAAAATAGCAAGTAGCTAGGATTTAGAAAACAAACAAATAAACCAAGACAAGAGAATATAACATCGTATCTCGCTTTTCATCTTTTCATTCCCATCCTGTTGGAGTTTTTCTTCAATATGTTTCCCACGGCTATTTCCAATTCAACATCTTTGTCCGAGGATGCCAGTGTTTCTTCTGGGACAAAACTTCACGACCTTGGAGGACTCAATCAACAACAGCCTCAAAAGATCAAGAAAAAGAGAAGCCTCCCTGGAAATCCAGGTACACTTCATTCAACAATAATCGAGCCTTTTTGTTTCTATAACTTGATCATTTTTTTTATCGACATATCTGCCAAGTGTTTCAAAACTAATAACAAATCTTTGCGGATCTTGACTTTCGCTGTTTAATTTTAACAACGAGATAAATTTAATTCATTATGTGTTCGTTTCAGACCCGGATGCTGAAGTGATTGCGTTATCTCCGAAGACCCTTTTGGCCACTAATAGATTTGTTTGTGAGATCTGCCACAAGGGTTTCCAGAGAGATCAGAACCTGCAGCTTCATAGGAGGGGCCATAACCTCCCATGGAAGCTGAAGCAAAGGAGCAGCAAAGAGGTCAAAAAGAAAGCCTACGTTTGCCCTGAACCTTCGTGCGTTCACCACAACCCCTCAAGGGCACTGGGGGATCTCACAGGAATCAAGAAGCACTACTGCAGAAAGCATGGAGAGAAGAAGTGGAAATGTGAAAAGTGCTCAAAGATATATGCGGTTCAGTCAGATTGGAAAGCTCACTCAAAAACCTGTGGTACTAGAGAATATAGATGTGACTGTGGAACCCTTTTTTCCAGGTAATAATTATAATTAACCTGTTCTTTATCACATCCAATTTCTCTGACAGTTTCAAAATTTTCATATTTTGGTGTTGATGTTTTACTGAAATTCATATAGATCCAGTCTTCTTCCTCCATTGATCATTTCTTTAATTTGATGTGTTTGGTTTTCTTTTACTTCACTTATTATATTAATGTTACATATATATATA